AAACATTACGCTGACAAAAATGGTTTCATCACCATAAAGTTTCCCCTGAACCTCTGGGAGTGAACCTCTGGGAGTGAACCTCTGGGAGTGAACCTCTGGGAGTGAACCTCTGGGAGTGAACATCTGGGAGTGAACATCTGGGAGTGAACATCTGGGAGTGAACATCTGGGAGTGAACATCTGGGAGTGAACATCTGGGAGTGAACATCTGGGAGTGAACACCTGGGAGTGAACCAATGGAAGTGAATCTCTAGGAGTGAACCTCTGGGAGTGAACCTCTGGAAGTGAATCTCTAGGAGTGAACCTCTGAGGTGAACCTTTGAGAGTGAACCTCTGGGAGTGTTAGGCGCTAAAAAGCTATGTAAGTCATGCAGTAATTTCACTGGAATAGCTTCTCTATTAGTAATGAATGCCAGTGTTCTTTGGTATCTTATCTTTGCATGTAGATGTTGAGAAGCCACTATGCTTTGAAGTGCAATGGGTTTTTGCGTTGATCTTAGAGTTTTTACAATAGATAAGCAACTTTGTCCACAGCCAAAAAACTTTTAATTCGTCTCACGCTCTAAACCTTGCTTGAAACGCTTAAAATGAAGACTTGTTTGAGTCCACTGAACTTGAGAGATGAATACAAAACTGTATGAACAGTCAAAAACATCTGATTATTTGCTCCGAAAAAAGCCGGAAAAAGAACAAATATTACAGCTTTTGCTGTCGGAAAATTTGGAAGGTCAGTAAAAATTCACAAACTCACCTATTCTAGCAAATTTTGTTTGTGAATTTTAATTCTAACCTCAAATATTAACGCCTCTAGAACCACATGTTGCACTGTTTGTCTTACAGTAACACGGCTTAATAACAAAATCTAAATAATGATCCAAAAAAGTTAAACTATTGAGTTTAAAAACAGACATCAATTAGCGCTTCAAAACAGAATTACCACTACAAGCTAAGAAAAGTGTTGCCATGCATTTCAGTGGAGAAATGTTATGATCACTCTACCATGTCCAGCAGTATTATAACAACATTCATTTTGCTGATTTGTTCCGTTGTTGAAAGAACCTCCCCCTCCCCCACAGGAAATATTTTTATTCCCACCTCCACTTCCCCCAGAGTACCCTCCACCTCCCCCAGGTAACTCACTATCTAGACGATAACCACCCCCACCTCCAAACCCACCTCGATATGCTCCCCCCTCTCCCTTTCCCTTGGCTAGAAATCCTTTACCTCCCTTTCCCCCTCCCTTAGAAATATCTGTGTTTTCTCCGTCACTGTAGAAGCCACCGCCACCGCCACCACCTAAAATCAAGAGATTTACAGTTGACATTAGCTATTGAAAAGATCATGGCTTTTAGTAATTCTCGAAAAAATTCAAATCTAAGCGACCAGTACCACCTCTTTGTTCGAAATACTGATGGGTGGCAGTAGAATGCGAAAAAAAAAGAAACAAAAACAAAAACAAAAACAAAAAAATTCAGTATTTATAAATAGAAAATTCTTCACCTACCAGAATTCGGTTCATCAGTTTGTCCTCCATATCCGTTCATTCCTCCTGACAGGAATGGCGAGTTATACCCTGCATTCCCTGTTGTGTTTATGGACGCATCACATCCTGAATATTGTTCTGTCATATTTGCAACTCCTCCTCCCCCTCCGGCCATGATTAAAGGCTTGTTCTCTCCTCTTACTACAAATGTACCTCCTCCGCCTGAGCCAGTTTTTTTGTTAGAATACGCTTTTTGCCCTCTTTGACCAACAAGTATACTAATGTTCTCACCTTTGGTCAACATAAAGTTTCCAATCATCCGCGCCCCTCTCCCTCCGTTGATGACACTGTCCTCACTGTACCCCCCTGAGGCTCCTATTGTTTCTATTCTGTATTCACCAGTGTGTGGCACAGTCCACAGTTGAATACCGTTGGACACTGTGACTTGTCCGTCATGATCCCGACCTGTATAGTGCCTGCCAACTGAGTCTGGACCCTTTTCTCCACTGTTACCAAGATTTGTAAAAACAGCTGTAAATCCTTCATAAAACACATACACAAAAAAATAAAAGTTATGATACTAGTGAGAAATTGTCATAGTTACTTTTGTCTCTGACAACGCAGTGAAAACCCGCTTAAAAGAACAGGTGTTTTGGGGGTTCAGGCTGATTTTGTTCTTATACATTGGGTGTTTTCTGCATAACCAACCTGAAAATGCTCTTAAGGTGTTCTTAAAATTGTTTTTAAAAATTAAATACTGCATAGACTACCAACAGATAAAATCAGCATGTAAGCACAACTTTTACGTTAATTCATGGATGGAACTAACCTTAACTGCATCAATCAAGGCAATAATATTACATTGGGGGAGGGGTAGCAGTTCTGGCGATAAACGACTTGAAACTCAGCAAAAGTCAAGCAAATTCAAAATGCACCAGCCCTCCCCCCCTCCCTATTTCCATGTAACTATGGTCCCCAATCTCACAAGCAAACTGAGAGAGAACTGAGAGAGCAAAATGTCAGCATTCAGTTTCTTACATTTCCAGTCCAATTATCAGATCCATTTAAATCTGATAATCTTCCTAACCTTGTGTTGAGACCTTTACATCATTAGAGCCACCTGCTTTTCGCAAATAGCCAGTTTTCTCACACAATCTCTTCGAAAAAAGGTCTCATCATTACTTAACTCACTCCACGCCTCCCCAGTCCATTTAACAAATAGATTCCTTGAGAGATGAATACAGAACTAATAAACATCACGAAAGAGCTTGCTCGAAACGAGATAAACAAAAAAACACTCACTTTATAAATTAACTTTAGGCTGCGCCTCGTGTGCCAACGCATTTTTTTTGTTCTTACCACATTTTGACGTTCCCTGTGATCTATTACATTTTGAACTGAACAGACGCACGAAAACTTGGAATCTATTTGTTTTATGTACTCAAGAATTAAAAAGTTTTAATGATGACGTCATCTATACGTCTGTCCTCCAATAGATCATAAGTGAGAACCAATCAGAATGCGTGCATAACTGAGCCTATTATATAATGGGTTATATTACATTGTATCTATTTTTAGGTATCCATCTTCCATACTTTGGGTCAACTGTATAGGGCTTGTTTCTTCTCCTTTGTGTTTTCAAGGCTTTCCTCAAATCCCTGTGGAATTTCTGGATCGTATCCCGGCCATCATCTGCCCCGACTTTTTCTTTGTTGGTCCTTCTCCTCAGTAATATGTTGTGTCTTTCCTTGAATCTCTGGAGCCAGTTGCTGCTTCCTTTAAATTTTGCAGCTTCTTCTGCGTCATAGCTTGCTTCGATTTTCGATTTTATTTTTTTTTGAACCAAGGTTTGGACACTTTGCTTCCTGCTGATGTCCGTAGTTTAAACTCGGCGAGTAAAAGATTGGAATTCAGAGGATATTTATCAGTGCGTTGGGATCTGTTCCTAGCGATACACCTTTGTCTCATTGGCCTTGCACCACCTGTGTTCTTCTTTATCTTGTTCAGAGTCAGTTCTGCAAGAAGTTTGCTTCTGTTTTTTTCCCACTCAATCACCAGCGATCTTTTGACTCCTTGTTGCTTTGCAACTGTGTTGTATTTATTAGTTGATGATTTCAGTGAATCCAAAAGATCAGTGTTTTCTTTATGAAATCAACGGTGTATGACTTTTTCTCGTTACTTCCCCTTTGATTGTTGCTTCGCCTTTGAGTTTGACCTTGCGCAACACCGGCCGATTCATGTGGCACATCCTCAAGCTGTTGACTCTCAGCCATTCTCTGCATGTTTGTTTCACCTGAGTGGTTGTTGATGTTTACAAAAATAGTCAATGTATTTCTAGGTGCTGAGCTGATGCTGTTCGAGTTCTGTGCGGCAGAGGCCGGGTGCTAGAATTGTACATGGCTGTCCAGACATGGCTGACCTTTGAACGACCTGTCGCAGTGTTGCATTTAACAGTAATGTGGCCCATAATACCTTGTTCGTCTATTGTCTTAGAGACAATGACTGTTTTGCTGTACAGCGGTTTTCTGTTTTCTTGAAAATTGTCTAGAAGTCATTTCGAGTGAGGGAAAGTAAAGCTTCCATCTTGAATTTCTCTTGGGAAAAGTCTGCTTTCTGCACAAATCAAACTATAAAATGGCAGATGAATACGAATTCTATGTTCAGGAAAGCTTGCGTGGGTACCACGCTTATTTTGTATATGCAACGGTGTATATTGGATAAGTTAAGAACTGCGAGCAGATAGACTCAGGCCATGTTTCTTTTAACAGTCTTCCTTCGATTTAACACCGAAGTAGGTGTGATAGGTGTAGTTTGGTGTAGTAAGTGTAGTTAGTGAATGCTGGTGTGGTAGGTGTAATTTGGTATGGTTTCGTGTAGTAGATTTAATTACGCGTTGTTTGGTGTAGTAAGTGAAGTTTGATGTAATAGGTACAGTTCGGTCTAGTTTGGTGTAATTCGGTGTAGTTTGTTGTAGTAGATGTATTTTGCTGTAGAAAGTGTAATTGGTAGAATAGCTTTTTTCAGGTTTAGTAGGTATTTTTTGGTGTTGTGGGTGTTGTAAGTATAGTTTCGTGTATTTGGTTTAGTAGGTGTCGCAAAACCCTACTTAGTTGCGCCAAACTCTCCTCAGTTTTCGCCAAACACTCCTTTGTTGCGGCCAAACTTTCCTTAAGTGGCAAAGAACACTGCTAACTTGTCGCAAAACCCTCCTTAATTATCGCCAAACTCTGCTCAGTTGTTACCAAACCCTTCTTAGGTGTCGCCAAACCCTCTTTACCTGTCGCCAAGCTCTCCATAGTCATCGCCAAACCCTCCTTAGCTGCCGCAATAAGTTGTCGCAAAACACTCCTTAGTTGTCGCCAAACTCTTTTTAGTTGTTGCAATATACTCTTTAGTTGTGGCAAACCACTTCTTAGTTTTAGCAAAACCCTCCTTAGTTGCCACCAAATTCTTCTTAGTTGTCGCTAAACTCATTACACTCCCATCCCCCGACCGAGTAAATGTATATCATTTTTTATTTAAAAAAATTTACCTTCCGAAGATAAATTTAAAGATTTACCTTCCAAATGCATATTACAGTAAACCAGAATTCCCTTCCCAGTGCCAGATGGATCCAGCCAGTATTTGTTGCTCGCGGTGTCTTTCCCTTCGTTTGCTTTTATCTCTTGACATGAACGTGCTGGTAACTCCGGAATCGAACCCAAGGGAGCTGGTAAGGATAAAAATGTTGAAATTAAATATATGTAGGTGCACTAGTCGGAAGCCGAGAGTGAAAAACACGAGAGAATTAGAATGAGGATCTAATCCCATTCACTTAAATTCCGCCTTTGAATGTGTTAAATTAAATGCTCTGTCAAGCAGCCTTCTCTTGGGAAGTGGGCCCCCCACACTTTTAAACCCTTCCTTTAGATCCACCAGCTTTTTTTTCTTCTTTCAAGACCCTAAGCTTTTTGTATCATTTTAAAGAAGAAATTGAAATAAATAATTTGTTGTCACTATTTCACACATGTATCAAAGCTGTTTTGTGAAGAAGTTAACTAAAAGTTGAATTGAATAAAGGGGGTAAGTTTCTAAAGAAAGTGTGGTGCTACGTCGGTGGGAGAGTATAATAAGGTTATTTGGTGCTATCAACTGAGTTGATACGTCAAAGTGAATGGAAGAATTGTGGGTTTTGTGTTTATCTGCAGAGGATGGAGCTACGTTATTGGTGGGAAACGACAAAACAACTACAAAGAAAAGGGATAAAACTGATGTCGTTCATTATTAGAATTGAGAAATGGTAGAAAAATCGATACCGATGAACGTGGGAGATCAGAAAACGCGGACTGTAAGCAAAGTGGAACGTATGACCAAAATATTGATAATTATTATCCAACATTATTGGCTGAATAGTTACCTCTTCCGCTCAAACGGCGAATATAAAACCATGCTGGATCCGAGCGGAAATTCTCGGGCCTTGCGTCCTTTGTGCGGTTGTTCAACTCACAGATCTGTTCTTTTCTGTTGAAATTGTAGCTCTGGCATGTAATTTCCCTTTCACATAAGATATCACAGATATGAGGAGCTGCTACTGTCATTCTCTTGAAAACGAAGCCTTTGAGAGCCATGCCACGAATGTTAATTTCTATCCTGCATTGATCCTCAGTGATCACAAGGTTGGTGAACGAAACAAAGACAAGAAAATAACGAAATATCCACAGCATTTTTCCTGAAAAACAAAATTCATAGATAGGTATTACAGAATCAATGAATTAACCTTTTTTCTCAAAGGCTGACTATGAACAGCAGATAATAAGAATAACTGTACCCCCCTCCCGCTCCCTTCTATAACTCTCTTTTTTTAAAGACATTTCCCAAAAAAAGGAAAACATTCAGCCTTCAAAATAAATTATGATGTGAGTGACTGTAGGAGAAATTCCTTGCTTTTATTGATGGTTCTCCGACAATTCATTTTTACCGCTGTCTTTTTGCAGCAAAATTTGCAGCGCTTTTGTTGAGGGAAGCAGTGAACAACGAAATAAGAGCCAAATGGAAAATGTTTCTGTCAATCCTTTATTCTATAGCCTTTAATTCATCCTAATAAAACGCAACTCAATGGATAACTTTATCTCTCGTTCAGCACTAGAAGATGATTTGCTCGAGAAATGAGAGAGTTTTCGAAACAAAGTTAAACCTTATTTAAGGAATCCGTTTTGAGTGAGATGTTGTCTTTTGTATGAACTGGAAATGTCGTTGACTGGTAGACACCTATCACATTAATTTGCCATCAGTTGAGTTGGATTCTCTTGGTATTTTTAAGCGAAGGAAGGCCTAGTATACAAGTGTTACCGTATTGGCTTCTGTGTGATTAATTTGAGGGACGATCTGGGTTAGTTCTGAATATCCACAAGGTTTCAAATGTTTTCAAAATGTCTATCTTATCGTCTATTTTTTGGGGGGGGGATTTCGAAAACGATTTACACGAGAATTAACACACAAAAAAAGCAAACTTGTGGATAGCTACATACTGAATAACAAGTCTGTTTTCAAGTCAGTAAATAAAGTCTTTTGGTTTGCAATGGCATTTCTTCAAGATAGAGAATTGCATGAGTATTGAGTTAAATCTCTCGGTGATAAAGTTTCTTCTCGCAGATGATCTTATCAGAGGTGGTGTCGTTGGTACGGATATCGGCCTGAATTGCAAAATGAGAGAACCTCTTGGCAAGGCACATCTTGTCTACTCCGACACAAAAAAAATGTTTTGCATGGTGAGAGCATGGAACTGTGAAAACATGGTAACTGGTAAAAATATGTCGCATGAAGCAGTTTTGAAAATAGTGGTCAAAGATATTATCGTCTCTGATTCCATTCGATTTCTCGGTAGACTTGTGGTTGTCAGGGCAAATTACCTGTTAGAGTATACCTAAAGACGATACTATCTATGTCAGGTTTGTAAATTCTTATTTATCTACATGTGTGTTAAGATAAGACGGAGTGACGTGACGTTTCAGATTGGCGCCTATTTTTGAGACAAATACTTTTTAAAAGTAATAGGAGACTTTTCAGTGAACTTCATAGCCTCACCCAAACACCAGGGAGAAGTTTGAAAGTTAAGCAACCCCGAGACACATTCGAAGGTTTGTATAACTGGCTCCACAAATACCTCAAACTTCCTTCGTGTTTAGATGAACTTAATTTCAATCTTTTACAGTTCAAATAAGTAGAACCACTTTCTCCATTCTTTTACCCTTTAAACCCCAGATGAAAGTCAATGTTCTTATTCATTGCGTACTATACTTGTTTTTGTTGATACTTTCAAGGCTTTTATTGCGTTTTTTGCAGTGTAGTACTTAAAATCGTTGTTTCTTTTTTAACTTTCATCATCCAAAATTTTAAGAACTAAAAACACGAGTTAAAATATTTTTGTCCTTAGCTTCTAAGACTAAATTTCATTTTCTTTGCTACGAATTGATCGCACTACCCTTACAATTGATATTTGTATCATCCAGTGTGGTCATGAAAGTCTTAGAATTTTCTGGGCTCCTGGTGGTCCCTAATTGAAGACATGTTTTTCCTACACGGACCTGTTTCAGTTCGTCTCATTATAACCCCAAGTGTCAATCATGACCAAGTATTTTTCGTAATATTAAGTGACCACAAGCCCTCCCTTTAGTTACGACAACTTTCACTGATTGTGTAGCAAACAAAGCTCCTCAGTTGCGACTTATAGTCTTAATTAAAAAACTAATCTTCCCAACCTAAAAAGACTACAGTACCAAATAACATAGAAGATAATCACCCTTACCAGGTGCTTTTAATAAAGTGATTTCATTCCTACTGTCATGGCCCAGTTGTAGATCACGTTTGTAAAGAACTCTTATTTATGTGGCAAATTATTCATAACAGTTTTTCAATAACTTTCATGTAAAAAATAATGTGATCTGTTGAAGGCCTTTAGTAAATTTAAGTGGATAGCTGATTGTCCTAAATGAATAATTAAACATTTTGGTCCCAAATTTGTTGCAGGAATTTAACCATGTTGAATTATTTGCCGAACGTTAGAGGGCAACAGATGGACTTTACTTCTTATATCTGGATAGAATGCAACTTCACAACAGCAGATATACATGAAAGGAAGTTTTAACTTTTAAAAGCGTTGAGATTGTTCCATTCAACAGCGTTTGGTCCTAAAGCATTTATCAGTTATAAAGCAAATTGTCGAAACAATTCTCTAAAGAGCACGCAACACCTACAGTAGCCGAGTGAAAATATAAAAAAACAAAGACTGATGGAATTCAGGGCACATCGAACCTGTATCCAGATTCTGAGTTGAATTACTATGAATAAATGAATTACACCAACATCAGTGTTCTAACACTCAAAGCAATAAGAGACTCGATACAAACATATCTTACAAACCTTGTGAAAAGGATAAATCTGGAATTAGCGCAGAGAGTTCAAATAGAAGGGGACAAAGAAGACCAAAACACATGTTGAGAGGAGATCTCGTCGCTGATGTGAGATATTTAGCCTTGCTTCTGATGCGACTTGTAAGCAACTGAAATGTTGACTACAACCAATAGAATTCGAGCGATTCCAGCTGCTCCCAGTTTTCTGACGTACAAACGAGCACATTCTTTTGTTTTTGCGACAATAAATGCCTCAGTACTATGTTTGTCTGTCAAACATTTCTCCTTATTTCAGCTCACTGCAGGCGGCCCAAGCTCCAGCTTGAGGCGATCATCTTGCGAAGTAAGTCTTAGCGAAATTATTAGAGTTTGCATGGGAATATTTACGACCACTCTTAGGAATAAAAAAATACAGTCAAATTCTCACCTTACTTCCACGGTGCATCGCTTGTTATCTGACTGCTTCTTAAGTTGAAAGAACCCATTTCAGCGAGTTATCCATTTCTAGTTTTATCACGTACGTAAGGGAAGCCCTCAGGGCTTCTCTTATATGAGGTGAGGTGTTTTTATTGAGAATTTGACTTACTTTTTTTATTCCTAAGAGCGATCGTAAGTATTCTTTTACAAACTCTTTAAATTTCGCTATGACTCTTATTTCACATGATGATTATTTCACAGCTGGAGCTTGGGCCGCCCGTGTTCAGCTGTGACATTTTAGCGTTAAAACAAACAAAATCGTTCACTTCCTATCTTCCTTTCTCTTCGTCGCTTATTTTCCTGGAAAATTGATGATACTACGAGTTAGAGTGCGAGGAAATAGTAACTAAGAATAAAGGAAGTGTAACTTATAAGTTTTCCCGTTGACAAGTTTGCGACTGCAGTGTCAATGAAAAAAATTTGGAATATATCAATGCCAGTTTTGGAGTAAGGGAAGTTGCTTTTTAACGAAAAACGTGCCTTCGAAAAACCAATTGACATTACAGATGGATGGCAAGAAGGAAAATTGTGTGAAATCGTGAAATTCTGCGCTGTGACAAAAGAAACAAAATGCCATATGTGGGTTATGAAGGTGTTGAAAACCTACAAATATCATTAAAAATTGATACCAAAAAACCCTTTCAAAGAGTGTTTTGGTATAAATTTTAATAAATTGTGAAATTGGGTTCCTGTTTACGTGTTAAATAAATAATTTACAAAGAGAGGTTCGAAATAAACGCACTATGTCCGTGATTATTCAATGTGGTTGAAGGCCTAATGTAGTAACTGTCCTAAATGTAATAAAGTCCTAAATGTACAAACGTTTGGTTCTAAATGTAATAAAGTCCTACATGTAATAAGCCTCTGATGCAATCGTTTAACTACGTTAGTGCATTGTTGTCATAGCGGACATCCACATTGAGATGTTAAAGTGACAGCTGTTGCACCAAAGAATCCTAAGACCAATATTCATGGCATATTGCAGGCTTGTTGATATTAATCAGCGTCTTTTTATTTGCTTAAGACAAAGGTTGAGAAGCATTGGCTACAAACCCTTATACTAATGTCCTTTTAGCATCAAATTGACGGACGTAAAAACAATTAGAAAGCTGACCAATGGCCACGATGCCCATGGTCACGCCATTAGTTTGTTTGTAGTAGTTACCGCCGAATGAAAAGCAATTGAGCGTGAGTACATAGTAGTTCGGCCAAACGGAGTAGTGTTTCAGAGCTAGGTTCCTTAACAGTGCGATGATTGAAAAAATGTTTGAGGGCCCGGAGACATTCGTCATCGGGAATGACAGTATAAAGAGATGTTATATCCATAGTGAAAATAATGTTGTTTTGGCCGAGGAAATTAAAGTCACGAAAAATTTCAGGTGCGTGTTGGCTTTCTTTAATGTAAGATGGTGAAGTTTTGACGATAGGTGTCATTATTTTGCTTAAATAGCATTCACTCTTACATTTCACCCTCACAACCACGCGGTTGGTGTTCTCGGAATCGGTCGTTAATCCCCAACGAGCGCCTTTCATTGAACTAAATTTATTCTTGTTTTCTCGTCACCATACTCCCACCGATGGCGTAGCTCCACTTAAACCTTCACACAACCCACAATTCCTCCAATAACTCTGACAAAGGGCTAACGCTCGAAACGTTAGCATTTTTACTCTTTACGGTGGCTAATTTACGTTTTCAACTCAGTTGTTAACATTAAATTACAGTGTTAGGAGAATTTGGAGTAATGCAGAAACAATGTCCCCGAAAGTTCTTCAGCATCCCCCCTCCGCTTCTGTTAAGTCATTTTACCCCACAAAAAGTTTCAATTAATTGCAGGTAA